TTTCTTTATTGGATGTTATTTCTGTGATTTTATCTCTGCAATTGTCTTCCTTAAATTATGTTATTTCCAATATTTAAGCCACCCAGTATACTTTTGTAATCACATGGCCTTGAAATCTAATAAATAATTTTTTGTTGTGCTAAATCTTACTTTCTCCCTTGATCTTTTGGTTTCAATGAATTACTTTAAGCATGGTCTAGCAAATCTTAAAGAGGTTCATTTTGTGCCAATATTCTGAGAGTAGTTTCTAAATAATTCATGCATGCAACTGCATCAGTGATGAATTTATTTGTTTTTTATATTTGTCATGCAGACTCTGCTATGAAATCAAATGCTGAAATATTCTCATCTCTGAATATAACCTCCCTGGATGCTAGCTAAAGCAAAACAGTACTTTGTCTAAGACTCCAGTCATATGCATTAATTTTCAGGAATAAAATTCATGGAATTTGGCAAAGCAGAGTTCTAAATGAATATCCTGTACACAGAATTGAACTGCATGCTTACAAAGTTCATAAAGAAGCTTGTAAACACACATGCATCTGCCATTTGGGGGTTGTGGTTAAGGCATCAAGCTGGAGACCAGGAATTAGTGTGTTCTACTCTTGCTTCAGCAGAAAGCCAGCTTGATGAACTAACCAAGTTCTCAGACCTAGAAGGAACTTGCAAGCTATTTCATTCACACATACACATTCTATGTATTAAGTGCATAACCGTTCTCATCCTATGTTCTGCAGTAACCCAGGGAGGTCATAATTGAAAATAAAACCTGTTGAAGGTTAGTAGACACTATCAACTTCTAAAGAAATAAAGAGTGCTATTTGAGGGCTTCAAAGGTGTATTTTGAGAATACTTTTTATCTTTTCCAGATTTTCTCCCTTGGGTTTTCTCCAGATGTGTTGGGCCATAGATGTGTTGGGCCATCACTGCCAGTACTGGTTTGGAAAATACTGACAAAACTTACTCTATTTTTTTTAACTAAGGCTCACTTGACAGAATAAGCCAAAACCAAACACTACTATTTGATACTCTGGATATGTGACTCCAACATAATTGTAATCCATCATTGGGCTTTAGCCTCTTGTACAGACCCAGCAATTATAACTTAATACTTTACAAGGAGAAAGATGTATCTTATAGCCCTGTGAGAGCCCCTTTGTTGACCAGTTATCCTGTGAGCTACCTTCCAGGTTGAGTTTTGCTTTTTTCTGTCAACTCAACACCCCAGGATTAGGTTAAGGAACTGGTTCTCTGCATGGTAACATCTAACATATCCTACCACTACCACCACTTGGCTCTTTAAATAAAAAGTTCAATATCATCTGAATTCAGAGAATAGCACTTAGCACTTAAACTTATATACCATTTTACAATGTTTTACAGCCCTCTTTAAGCAGTTTACAGAGTCCGCATATTGCCCCCAACAATTTGGATGCTCATTTTACCCACCTCGGGAAGGATGGAAGGCTGAGTCAACCTTGAGCCAAGTCAAGGTTTCTGCCAATCAAATTGGCTGGGGAATTTTGGGAGTTGAAGTTCATACATCTTAAAAGTTGCTAAAGCTGAGAAACATTGTAAAATGGTATATAAGTTTAAGTGCTATTCTCTGAATTCAGATGATATTGAACTTTTTATTTAAAGAGCCAAGTGGTGGTAGTGGTAGGATATGTTAGATGTTACCATGCAGAGAACCAGTTCCTTAACCTAATCCTGGGGTGTTGAGTTGACAGAAAAAAGCAAAATTCAACCTGGAAG